TGGAACTACCGTATTCTACTACATTGTCTCATTTTATTTTCTATTTTTTAACATCAACTATATAATATTTTATCATGAATTGATTTTATCGTATTTGTAAAATTTCTTAAGTATGAAGAAAATATGACTACAAATAAAACAATACCTGTTTGTTTTGGTGGACCAAGACAAACTGTAATTATACCAATAGTCATTGCTATGATTGTAAACAAGATAAATGCACATACTGCTTTATAAGAGAGATGTTTTACTGAGTATGATTTTTCCCTAATGAAAGCAATGTATATAAATTATAGCAAAAAAAGTTTATAAAGAAAGAGATATACTGAATTGCTCCAGAGTCCATTTGATTATTGTAGGTACCAGAAGCATTCTGGAAACTGGACTCATTAAATACTAGATTTTCATCTTTGGGTATTCTTGAAGAAGAATGATGATCAACAGATTGAAGAGTATGATCGACGATACTTGTATTCATCTGAAGAAAAAAAGAAACAAGTTAATAGTTGATAGTAGTGAAGGAGTTTACTTGTATAGAATGAGAATAATTTTACTCAAATCACCAAACTCATTATGAGGACTATGTATTTTGTAGATTACCTATAATTTTTCGTTCTTTAAAAAGGTTTCCTAACAGAACAAACCAAGTTCTTTATGAATGAGCATAACAAATACAAAATCGCAATATGTGTACTGTAGACTTCAAAATGACCGGTTCGACGAGAATAAAAGAAACTTTGTGCTGGAGTTGAGCGGCTCGAACTTTAGTCGTGTGATGAAGGAATTTTTATGTATTCTGTAATTGATAACAATTTGGAAATTGTACTAAGGGATTATTTTTGAAGTTTATTTAGACGACGAATAAAAATGAGCGCAAGTCCAAGAAAGTAGATCTGCAAATGATCATAAACAACATAAAATACTGAAAAGTAATCTCGTTATGTCGGCGTGATGCGTAAGCTCATAAAATGGTTGAAGTAATAGAGGAGAGAATGATCATTCGCTAGTGAATAGCTGTTCTGTAACGCGGGATGATGGATTATGATGAAATTAATGCAGTAGAATCTCGTTCTCTGCTCGTTTCAGGGTACTCAAGACGTCGTTTCCGATAATCGAAATAATCGCTCTAGGAAGTATTTCTTCAATTGAATAATACTTCTCATCCACAAAAGTTTAAGTGAAGTGACAGATTTACTATTAACAAAAAGTAAAAAGAGAAAATATGGTTTTTATCAGTTTTTGTCTCATTCAAAGTCAAGCAAAATAATATAATTTCAATCGTATTATTTTGTTTTTTATCAATTAAAATGCACTGAAAAGTTTCTTCGAAACAAAAAACTGACTTAAATAAGTGGCAATAAAATATAAAAATCATTTAACAATGTTAACAAGAGACTAAGTTCAATAGTTAGAGTTATACTTAGTAATTTTGCTGACTGTTTGTACTTTTTTAGTAATCAATAAAGTTTTATAAGATTCTTGTTAATGCATGACAGTCGTCATGAAACTCAAATAGTTATGAGAATATCTTGCTTCTGTGGTCCAAGAAAAATATTCGTCTTATTTCTGATGTCGCTGTTACACGCGTTGAATCATCTGACTTTATTAAACTTATGATCATTATGATGATAAAATTTTCAAAATATTCTAATAAGTTGTGAAAGTGATCGTTGAGTTCTACTATATAGAGACTGTACTTATTGAAGAAGTATACTTATAATAAATGCTAGTTTGGGATTGGCATGATAAACTGAGCAGACAAATAGAATCTTCCTAATGTAATAGAGAGAAGATCGGTGAGAACCATTGAAAAATGGTTGAATTTTGAAGCTTGATCTATAAATAATCATTAATAGTATTAAAAAAATGTGTTATATACAGTATCATCCTTGTGACGTATTGAAAGAGTAACATTGTGTTTATTCTCGATCATGATCTCTATTGAGTTACTTCATCATTTTAGTCATCTCTACAGAATATCGAAAAGTCTGGCGTGAAATTAAATTCGTATAACTTCTTTATTTGTCAAAACTAATCAACTAATTTTATTTTGTATGATAGTAATGAATACAAAGTTTTTATTATTAAGAAATAACTTTATAAATAATGTTGTATGATATCACTTTTGACTGAAATGCAGAAATTTCGATTTTTCGAGTTTCATGAAGAAAAATTACGCCATCTTCTAGTTTTTTTATCATTTCAAATTTTGCGATATTTTCACTTTCTAATTGCCCAATGACGTTTTATTAACATATTTTTTGCAATATGTTAGCGAATATTACTATAGGATCATTTTTTTTCCGAGGATATCTAAAAACAAAAGTATTTGTCAAATGGCATTGAACAATTGAAAAAGTGATATATCGTAAAATTTGAAATGATCATAAAATAAACGATACGAAGTTTTTCTGATGAAACTCGAAAAAAGAAACTTTCTATATTTTAGTCAAATGATAGATTTTCTTTCAGGAGACTTTATTACATTTTAAAATTGTAATAAATTATCGTTTTAGATCTTGTTTATTTACTCAGTACAAAAGAACAATACTTTTGCAAGAGTGAGATGAGAATTAAACGTAAAATTCATATTCTTGGAATCTTAAAATAAAAGGCTGCGGTTGTAAAATAAGCAATTATAATTTGTACTGATAAATAATGAGAAAATTGTTTTCTATTTCAAATGATTATTGAAGAATTTAATTTTTGGTTAACAAATGCTTTACACAGAATAGAATTTCTATATTCATCTTCATTTCGTTAAGAAGAAATTCTTTTCAAAAACATTAATCAACTAAGTATATATATATCTGAAATTAATCTTTACATTACCTATTGGAAGAAAAAAGTAAACTTATTTTATTTAAAGTAGCCTAACACAAACATATTTTTCTATTAAAAATAATATATAAGTTTCAATGGGGTTTTATTTGAATTTCGTTTTGAATAGAAAGTCTCTTCACTATTTCTAAGAAATACATATTGAAATACTCGATCGTTTTGACATCACAAAAGAACAATAACTTAAAATTCTAGATGATTACCGTTCACTAAAAAAAAATCTCGTTTGCTATAAAAAAATACGATTATTACATTCAGAATATCAACACTTAATAATTAACCAAAGTTCTTAACAATAATTATTTTGTTAAACTTCTTTTTCAGCTTTTAACACAAAATTGAAACTGTAAATAGATAACACTGTTCACGTACCCTTATCGTAATATTGCTGTCACCTAACTTTTTCTTTTTATAAGTAATTTCACTGAACAACAAAAAGAGTAGAGTATGCGCAAGTTTTTTTTGCTTATGATAGTTCTGATGCTGCATTACACATTGATAGAGATAAAATCATACGTCTTATTTCACGCATCACATCACTGACTAGAAAACTAAACAGTTTTTTAATTAATATTTTTTATACAGAAAAAAATAAAAATGATTATTAAAAAGATTTACGATTTTTATTAAAAATGGCGTAGAAATATTTACTAATTTTTATTTTTCTCTCGATTAGTGATCTTGTTGAAAAGAAGACAAGGGTTGATGGAGCATCAGAAATATCATATGAAGATATATAAAAAATTTTATTTCTGATCAGTGTCGGTAAGTAAGTTTCCATCTAATAAGTAATACATCGTGCTCATTATTATTCACTGTGTAGATTGACAAACAGATAGTCAAGCAAGAATGTGAGAGGAAAACATGTTTTTTATTGATCTTGAGGTAATAATTTCTTTCTGATTTTTGATTTAGTAATATTGGTATGATCAATATATATTTTTTTTTAAATTCTTCACTTTTAGTGATAATAGATGTTATGATCTGCATCATTATTAATGTAGTTCATTAACATTAGTGTCGTCACAATTGTAGGTGCTCTATTTTCTATCATAGTACATTTAGTTTCTAGTGAGGTGTTTTTATTCTTTTTATCTTTTATTTATATACATATTCCAATCTTATCATTATTTTTGTTCATCGTCGATAAGTTTCTTCTGTTCGCTTCTTTCGATAGTTACAAATGTATGTTTACTAACAAGTCTATACGTAGTTATTGTTGTGGTGATATACGAGATGGTAAGCAAGCTTCATTTGACAAATATGAAGTCTGTTAGATTTAGCTTTATATAGGAACTTCTACACGAAAAAACATATTACGAATCAAACGATAGATTGTTTGAAAATCAAACAAAAAATGTTAATAGTCTTTGCTGAGTAATCTAATCTATGTAGTAATTGTGCTTTTTTCTTCAGAATAATTATCACACATGACAATACAGACACTTTTGGATAAAGAGAGTGGACATAAGATGAAAACAAGGAATAGTAAAAGAGGGAAGAAAAGAAAACAAACAAGAACTTAAAGTATAATAACATCCTAATGCAATAGTGATTAAGCAATCAGAGTTTATAGAATGAACCATAAATATATACAAGGTGTCCCATAAATAACACCCCGATAAGAAATTCAAATATTTTCACTAGATGTCGACCAAACGAGCTGACATTTTTATCAGTGATAGAGATATATTCAAAGTTTATATCCATAAAGACATGCCTTGAGAGACTCTTTGTTAAGTATCACTATTCACCTCAACACAAAATTTTACTTCGTTCAGAGATAGGAAAAAAACAATATACAGAGTGGCGCAAAAGTCACTTTGCCGGAAAAAAATTGAATATTTTCATAGGCGCTCGAGCAAACGAGCTGATTTTTGTATAAATAATCGACGCATGTCCAAGCTTTTTATTTATTAAGACATGACTGGAGAGACCCTTTGTTAAGTATATTGTTTTTTTTTCCTATCTGTGAAAAAGTAATTTTTTTTGTTGAGGTCAATAGTGATACTTAATAAAGGATCTCTCTGGGCGGGCATGCCCTTATGGATATAAACTTTGAATATGCCTCTATAACTGGTAAAAATTTCAGCTCGTTTGGTTGATATCTGACGAAGATATTTAAATTTCTTATCGGGGTATTATCTATGGAACATCCTGTATATATGTATATTTATAATTGTTTTAAAATTAATAAAATTTCTAACTTTTTACTGAAGTATCTTCTATTGTTTGTCATTCAATGATGCAGTACTATCTTATAAAGATATAAATAAAAAATATAATCTCGCAAAAACAAAATACTCATTCAAAGAAGATTAAATGTAACACAAATACTTAATTGATAGAATTTATATGTTTGTTGTTATTTTGAAAAATTATTAGAAAAACATTAGTCTTTATTGCTAGTTTGAAATTCTTAAAATATGTCCAATAGATACGATTAAACTCAGAATTATATATAAAGAAGAATAAAAAAAATACATAACTTAAAAGTATTGCCCCAGGAAAAAAACTATGATGCTAAGAACAAGTGAACTTCAGTACAACTATTAAGTAAAAAGTACGAAGTATAGAATCACTATCGTAGATTTTTACTGCAAGTTTATTTTATTAATTTATGCGATTGAAGTTATTATTTCTGTAAATTATTTACAAATTGTTATTTGTTTTCATAACTCGTTGATCACTAATTTTAATCTCAAGTTAAAACTAATATTTCAATATAGTGCTTTTAATCATTTTCCTTACATATATAAACTATAAGCAATCCTTTATTGATAGTAAAAATTTATTCTGTTAGGTCAAACTATAGTGAACATAAAGAAGTTTTACTTTTCGAGTAACTAACTATTTATCTATCGTTTATATCATCAGTTATTTTGTGTTGATGACTAGTGACTCGAGGTCTAGTGTATACAAGCTTACGTTTCGTAATTAGTTTTTCTTTTCTATGTGCCCGAGAATAAACGACGATCAAAACATATATAGGTATGCTGAGACATACAACGGAAGACGCCAGAAAAAAAGAGAGAGAGGAAAGAAGAAATAAAAAGACAGATAGCTACACGAAGGATAATGGTGGAGTCACGGTAGAGTGACTATTTAATAAATATATTGAAAAAACAGCGCATAAATGTAATATTCTCACTAGAATATATGAAAATAATCTTCTATATTATAGAATGACGATTATGACTTAGAGAAATGAAATCAACTTTCATATTGACATTATATATCAATTCTCTTATTCTTTGTTGCTGTTCAATCCATTTCTAGTGCCATACTTTGATTTATTTATATGACAATACGTAATAATATATTTTCTATGAAAAAAAAAAAACATTTCATTATTTTTTCGTTCTTTTACAGTTCATAAAAATATTTTTATTAGAAAACAAGTGAAAATAAAAACAGCAACCAATCGTAATATATTGCTTGAGTTATTTTTCACATTAGTTAAAATAACTATTTATCAATGATGTTAATTTTCACAAATTCATTAGTTAAATTTTTAACGAAAAGTATGATATCTTATTAATATTATGTAATATGGGAGAAATTTCATACGATGAACTTGTTACAAATTAAAGAAATCTATGTTAGTAACTTCCAACTAATCATCATGTCAAAGCAAAAAGTGGTTTGAAAATTTTTTGAATAGCATTTGATAGAAACAAGATAGAGCTCTGAGGTTTTTACTATTGAAAAGAGGAAATAAATTCACATAGAATCATGTATTATAGATTCTGCTAAGGTAACTTCTTAAGTTTCTCAATCAAATTTATTAAAAACATTGTAAGAAAAATGGTTCGTTTTAATATAAACAAATAGCAAAAATGTAATTTTTTTTCATAACAATTACTTAAAAAATCGACCGATAATTTGACTAGAATGCCTATGATTCCTGAATAACCAAATTTAAAAACATCTTAGCCTTACATCGTTTTATAGATCTTCCACTAGCAGTTCTGATGCACACCTGATAATTGACAATTCACTACATTCACCTTACAGAATATGTTGATTTTCAAAAAGGCCGAAAAAACTCGTAATATACGAATCGATATATCTTCATTTTCTTTTTCTAAAAGTGAAAACTGTAGCTCTCTATCTTGTTTCTATCAAAATTTATTAAACAGAACTTTCTGCTCGCCTTTTTTTTTGAAATGGGCATTAACTAATATATATATATGATAGTATATCTTGAAAGAAAAACATGTTACAAGAAGATCATACAAAAATATACATTTTAAAAATGTTTCGGATAATTTTTTTCTTGTATCAATACTGGATTTCTTATCTATATCTTACAAATATATTTATCAAAGTCTTGATATGAAGTTTCCTAACTAGATATGAAAAAAATAAAAAACGATATTGAAATTGAAAAGAATGGAAAGTGACTTTGTTTACGGACATATCTGATAGTTAAGATCCTCATGTTACGTGTACATATATGGATTGTTGAAACACAGGCTAAGAATAGAAAATAGACTTCACAAAAAAAAAACAAATTACTATTTTAACAAATGCATTTTGATATAGTTCCGACCATAATTAGCAACAGAAATATCTCATCAAGTTTTATTGTTTTAGTCTTCAATAGCGTCGAATTACACATGAGCATCGTAAGCGATTGAAGATGAATTTGGAGTTGAAGAAATTTCATTACCTTAGTTTTTTTATATTAGCTGAATCCATAAAAATTCAAGCAGAGTTTGGTCAAGTTAAACAGATTTTATTTTAATATTTATATGATATTTCTGAGTTTTTTTTTTCTATGACGAATATTAGACTATTGCTATTGATATTTTCTTTATTTCTTTTCTTTACATTTGTTAAGACATTATAGTTAAAGACAAAATAAAAACAATTTCAATTCAAGATTAAAAATACAATATTCTATCGCAACAAACAACAATATGATTGATACAATGCAATGAAAGAAGTGAATGTCTATGAGTGAATTAGTCACTTTTGCATTTGATAAATATTGAAAAGTGAAAAGTTGATTGCACACAGACAATGAAATATCATATCATGGCTATGATCATTTTGTTTTTTATTATATATTAGCATATCTGACATGTTATTCATAGTAACATTAAAACATTCAATGAAAGTCAAATGAAATGTTTTCGAGAAAATCGATCAATAAATTTGTCTTTTCTTCAGTTTAAAAATGAAGTATCACAAAATACATAATGTACAAATTGGATTTCACTATTCACTTTAGATTCATTTACCAAAATTCTAAAACAAAGTCTATAATATGATTAATCCTATTTTATTACAGAAGACAATGATTTTTATATGTAGAAATGTTTCTATAAAATAAGAATAATCTAACTTGAAGTTAAACATAGTTTTACAGTGATACATTTTTTTTGTATCATATTTCAAAATGTTGTATTTGTATTTTGGAATCAACTGGTAAATACAGTAAAACTTCCTTATTGCGAATATTATCGAGTCCATTCAGAAGTATTCAGTTTAGACATTTGAAGCATGGTTTACTGTGATATGCAGAAAATGTTTCAGAAAATTCACTTGTATATCAGTTTTAGATTAAGATCTGGTTATTTATTTTTTTGTTCATATATTTTCATCTAAATGATTTTTACATTTAAAGATTTTTCAAATACAACACAATATTTAATTGCCTTTAAAAACCAATCTCTATTGTTGTTTGTATATTTACTTTGGAACTAATTTTTTAAATATTGCAATACCTAGTGAATTATAGGCAACTGATCATGTCGATTCTGAATATCAACACAATTTATGCCGCTAATGCCTTCAAAGATTCCGTTTTCTTTAGCGAAAAAGTTTTTTTGTCAAAAAATTTGTTCAATCCACCAAATTTTGGTGGAGTGTGGGTCCGGTGGTGAGTGTACAAGAGTAGGTATCCAACGCACACCCACTTCCGAAGCTGTAGTCGAAATTCATGAAATAAAAAGCAAAGATTTCCACAATGATCAGAAATTCACATTTTTTAATTAGATCCTAACTAATTCCAATTGATATTGAAACCCGTGTCTTGCATTAGACAAAATCTAAGAATAGCTTCAGAGAGAACATTCAAAATTTATCACAATAAACATGAAGAACTGCTAGAAATTGGATAATTCTCAATCGTAGACATGCATTTTTGTCAGCAAGAATAAATTGATTCCTTGAATTTCTAATCAGAGTTTAGAATATTCCTACTATAGACAATTACCAAACCCTTAATGGTTCTTCATATTAGTTGTGATCAGGTTTGAACTCTCTTTCCGAAGTTATTCTTAGATTTTATCTAATGTAAAACAATGATTTCAAAACCAATTGGAATCGGCTAAGACCTAAATAAAAAATGCAGATTTCTGATCATTGTGGAAACAGTTGTTATATATTTCATAAATTTCGATAATAATTTCAGATAGAACAAAAAAACAAAATTATCATGGTTGACATAAACAATCCACAGGAACTGTATTTTCAAAAAGAAGAAGAAATATCATCTTTGAAAGTATATTCTGGCAATTGATACATTCCTATTCACAATTAAAGTCATATAAATAGTATACATTTAATCTTTATTCTTTCCTTCAAGAATATTTTCATTAATTGTTTTATTCTTGCTTAAAGATATTCATAGAAGCTTATATTTAGACAATTATACCAAAGTTCATTCTTAGGATATAATTAAATTTATATATCTAGATACCAAATACCGTATAGTCCGACATACAGTTTATTTATAATGATAATAGTACAAGACAAAACAATAGATATTTGTTTATTTATTTATATTACATGAAAATGAGTCCTAATGGCAATAGTCTATTTTTCAACTTTGTTATTTAACTTTGAAACATGTTCTGTTTTGGGTAATGGCATCAAAGGTAGAGGTAATACATGTATAACTGGTGAACGTGCTCTAGGTCGTATTATATTTAATATTCTATTTGACATTGAAGATCGTGGAATGAATTGTTGTCTTACATCATGAAGACCAAGTAATGAAACAAATGGACAAATCATAATAACAATATAAATACTATACGTAAATAGATTAACACTTAAATCAATAAGAATTTGATCTACTACGGGAGAAAAAAGTTCTATTAAAAGACAAATTATAATAGGAAGCCAAACTAAATTATGAACGATAACGATTGATATTAATTGAATAACAAGATGTCGATTTTTTTTCCATTTTTGTTGTTGTTTCATACGATGTTTTTGATGAAAAACTCGACATAATAGAAATATATTACTCAATATAGAAATACATAATGGTAAAGTAATATTGATTAATAAATCAATTGAACCAGGTATTCGTTCAAAAAGATAACAAGGTCCTTGACAAGTTATTTTTGTATAATCATATTGACTGACACATGGATAGAAAAAAATAAATCCAAAATAAAATAAAAATGGATAAATAATAGAAAAAATAATTGGTAAATAATGAAATATAATTAAATGATGATAAATAAAAACATGATGAAATACAAGTAAATAACGTTCAATTGAAGCATGACACATAAGCATAAGAATAACAACATTAAATGCATAATCAACATAACACCATAATGCACAAAATGTATCCGATGGAATTAGAGCAACATTTGTACGAAAATAAACTAAAACAAGTGGTAATTCACTGATTACCTATAAAAATATATCATATTAATTTTGATAATATTAATTAGTTATCAATAAAATTAATCTAATAGAATTTTTCTGTAGAACAACTAAATTCCTGCCTTGTCAATTTTACATTTAGAAAATGAACGAGTGAATTTTTTTTTTTGAAATACAATCTAAAAGGGATGTTGAAGTATAAGAGTAGAAACTTGGAAAGTCTTCTTTCCACAGTGTGAATAGCAGATGGATATGTGACTCTCTTGCTCGGAAACAGATTTTGTCGCTCAGAAATGATTTGATATGAGACAGAAAAGCAGTTTTTCGACGAAAAATGCCTGAGGAAGGCCTTTGGCTTCATTTTTTTTTTCGAGAAAATGTTTTTTCAAAGTCAGAAATCCTAAAAAATATTTGAAAATCTAGGTTTTTTCAAAGTTTACTGTGCAGTTCAGAAATGTTTGTGTTAATATGAATTAGAGATAGTAGATAGAAGTTTTTATGATACTGATCGTTCGGACGACATTGTACAAAGAAAATATTTTACTTTTTTTCTCTTCGAAGTTAAGTGTGTAAATGAAAAAGAAAATTTTTTTTTATTATTCTATAGAACTTGCCTAGGAGATTGAGAAAATATGTTTGATTTTTATTATATATCAATTTTTCCGATGACATCACAATTATCAAGCTAATTTTTCAGCAACCGATTTTTAAATTTCTTCGAGGATTGTAATAAAGCTATTTATACCATTACATAGACTACATTTTGAAGTATAATTCCCTATAATTAAATCTTGAAAAAGGGCGGTTTTGATTTTTAGCCAAATGTTCGTCTAGATGCACAGAGTGTCTCGTGCTCGATAGACGTCCTTAGCAAGACCTCTTCTTCATTACAGACCATGCTTATTTATGATCAAAGACCGCATATTAATAACATCTTCTCATAATATATGAACTAGTTCCTAATTACATTTCTTGACGATTAATTAAAAGAATGTTGAAGAAATACGTCTCAAAATTGGTAGAATAAAATAGTCTCATTGTAATTAGCAACTGTAGCTACATCGTTTTTTACACTTTAATCCCGCAGTGATTGCGCTAACAATTTTTTTTTTCTCCTGAAATTTAGTAAACTTTTTTCAATAAAGATTTTCAAATCAATACATTTCTATTTTCATTATTAAATATATCTTACCTGTAAAAAGCTACAAATTAGTACAACCAGAACAACATGATTATTAACGTTTATTCTCAATGCACGTTTGAAAATAAATTGTAAAAAAATAAATAGAGAACAACCAATTGATAAAATAAACATAATGAGATACATCCAAAAAGCAATTGAATAATTAGGATATTTATTTTTATTGAATAATGTTGAATTTAAAATAGTTTTATTATCCATAATTCTTATTTCAAATTGTTTTATCTACTTCTTCATTAAATACTAGAAAATATATTAATATAGTTAAAAGAAAAGTTTGGAAATAAATATTATTATCTTATATATTTATTCTTTGTCTAAATATGACATTTTATGATGTTAAAAATGATTAGATTAAATTATCTAACGTTGATAGAGAACATAGAAACATAACAATTAGCAAATAATTTAAAAGCAAATTCTTTAAAAATAAAACTTTATCTTAAGAAGATTTCACATTAGCTATAAAATAAGCTTTATATGAAAATTACAGTATTAAATCAACTAATCATTCAGTAAAAATTGTACTTACAGACAGTTTTGATATTAGAAATAATAGAAAAATATCCTATATTATTAAGAATATTCTTGATTATTTTAATTTTCTAAATGTCAGAAAACATTGAACATCGCGTATTAGAAACGTAAAGAATTATTTGCTTAAATGAGTTTTTATAGAACTTCTTTATTAATAGAATAGAAAACGAAAGAAAAAAAGAATACTTCTAAAGAACTCAATATAGTGTATCTTCATCAAATATATAATTCAACGTGAAGAGATTTTCGTTGTCTTCAAATATATAAGTCGTCATAACTAATTGTTTCACTGAGAAGAACGCACTAAATGACATTAGTAATATTTTGTCATGGTTTTTTTTTTCTAATAACCTGTTGAGAATAATAAATTATCATTTGAGAAATTACTCAGTCAAACATAATTTTATCTTTAGATTATAAAATCTTAATTAATATGTTTCTTTTCGAATGTATTATATCTATCGATGATAGATGAATAAATCATCCTATTTTTATATATTCTATTATTCATATATGTATGTTAAAAATCGAAATTTTCACTGATACATTATATGATATAATAACTGTACAATCGTTAGTTATTTTTATTTAAAAATCCTATATACATTGTACTTATTATGAAGTTTTCTGATGTTTCATGCTGCGTTACGTACAGATATTATTTTTTCTTCTTTCGTTACTGGAAATACTTGTTATACACTCACGAAGGAAATTCTCCAATTGATTAATAGTTTTTTTTTAGTTGGGGTCACGTCTGTTATGTAGACTCTAATGAAAAATGATTAGGTTGAAACGAACTCGAATTTTTAGCTTATGGATTTGGCGATATTGCAGCGATATAGTATATTTTTTAACCGAATGCCGTAGTTTTTCTGCTCAGGAATAATAGGAAAATTGAATTTCGACTTGAAACTTTACACAGAGATCGATAATAACGAGAATAGTTTAATGTAAAAGTTTCAGATCTTTTCATTTGCTTCTATTCTAAAATACGAATGTCAAATCTGTTGGTGTATACATGCGATATAAAAGACATGCTTTTATCTTAGTCATATTTTAGAATAGGATAAATGAAAAGATCTAAAATTTTCACAATAAACTATTCTCTGTAAGACTTACTTCTATGCAAAGCTTCAAGTTGAAATTTGAAATTAGTTTTTCAGAAGAAAGTCAAGGCATTGACTTAAAAACACCGCAAAAATGCAGTAGCTTCAGAGCAGAAGTATCTTGAAGTCGTCAGAATTATGGAGGAGATGTTTAATCAGGAGATCGATTGAAAGATTTGTTCTAAAATTGATCAGATCCGAGCGATCAAGCAGTTTTTTAAGAATTGACAAGCAAAGAAAAACGAATAAAACGTTGGAACGTCGCTGAGAAAAATCAAAAAAACTTCCCAAGACTGAGCGGGGAGTGATCCTGTTGCTTATTACTAATAGACTACAGACCTAACCCTTTTCAACGTATTTATAAATCGTTAGAGTTTACAGTATTCAGGGAGTTCCGATTCAAGAATAATTAATCAGTTGAAAGACTCTCTTCGTTCGTGAATATAAATAAAATCTTATATAGAAGTACAACACAATTCTCTTTTTTCTTTGACATACGATTGAAGCTCAATAACTTTGTTCCATTAATATATTCCATTTCAATAAAAAACTGTAGCACTTTGGCGACGAACTCAGAGTGAGGATTGTTTGTTTGATATCTTCCCTTGAAGCGACTGTGTATTACTTTACCATCATATTTCTATGTTTTATGCAGGACAGTATAAGTCATATAGTGCTATAAAAATAATAATAGATTATCCAAGTAAGCTTATGAAAAAGTAGAGTGAAAACATATGGAAGAGGAAAAAAAAGGGTGATATACCTTTGTCAAATTTTGAAACTCATTTTATATGATATAAATAAGAAATGATTTAATATGAAAAAAACAACATCTCCAATGACTATCTACTTCTCGTATCACGAAATCCAGAAACATTATCCGAATTGTTTTCATTTAATAGAATTTTTTGTAATTATTTTACTTTCATATTGATATCATCATTTGCTTCTTTTTTGCTAATTCCTTCAGATTCATGTGTCGTCTACATATTAATTATAATTATGTTAACAAAATCTGCCATTAATAAGCGCATGGAAAGTATTCCTAAATATTTACAAACACTTTTCAGATGATTTTAATAAAATTTTCGTATTCGCGATTAAACATTCTTCTTGACAATAAATCCTTATATATATATATATATTCGAACAAAATAAATACAATAAATATATAATAGTGATAAAAGAAAATTAAGATAAAGCGGAAGAGTTATGTATTCTTAAAATGATCTATTCCTTGTAATTATTTCTAGTGTTACCTGCATTTACAATAGGATTAATTGTAATGTGCCGTGGTCTCTATATGATTATAGCTATCACTCATAATAAATATCTTCTCTTGTATACCAAAAAGAAAATTTAAGAGCAACGAAACTTGAAAAGAAAACAGCAAAACTCCTTCCCCACCCCTGCAAAGTGCCAACCCAACAGCATCGGCTCGGACGGCTGCCCTCTCCTCACCCCCA